GAGAGAGAGAGAGAGAGAGAGAGAGAGAGAGAGAGAGAGAGAGAGAGAGAGAGAGAGAGAGAGAGAGAGAGAGAGAGAGGGATTGACGACATTGGACAGACGTTGTGGGGGACTATTTGGGATTGATATCAACGGCATTTGAGTTGACGACACTCTCATCTCTTCCCCCCTCTCCTTCGTCTCTTCCCCCTCCTCCTCGTCTGTGTATGAGTTGTGCCTGGCGCCTTCATCCTGGTGTGTGGCGCCAGGCCATTCACACCAACTGATGATGAGTGATGCATGTCCAGCCTGTATTTCGACATTGATTGGGTCTGATCATTGGTATTCCAGTCTTCCGCTGTGCCATCTTGCTCTATCTATAAGAGGTTGGTTCTTGGTTCTGGTCTGCACCATCGTGGTATGCGACAGTTTGGTATCAGAGCAGACCTCCCGAAAGACGATCTGCCCAAATCAAGGAATCAACTTGATTGATTGATTGATTGATTGATTGATTGATAGATTGATTGATTGATGATTGACTTATTGCTTGATTGACTGATTGATCGATTGATTGATTGATTGATTGATCGATTGATCGATTGATCGATTAAGTAGGGATTCATCAAAATTCTGCAAAAAAAAAATTCTTCTTTTCGAAAGTTGTCGCCTTGATTAGCGCTAATTAGCGCTAATCCCAGATTTTCGCTAATCATGAATTACCGCTAATCCGCGATTGCATTCGCTAAACTAACCCTAATCAAGATCAACAACTAATTAAGTTTTGCAAGTTCTTTTTCTCTTTCTCTCTTGCTGTTCGCACTTTCGGCATTTTCCAAATCCGCGAACTTCGGAAATCCGAAAATTCCAGTATTCCGAGAAATCCGCGAATCCCGCACATTTCGGAATCCCAAAAATTTCGGCATTCCGCGAAATCCGCAAATTCTGCGAATTCCGGATATTCCGAAAATTCCGGTCTTCCACGAAATCCGCAAATTTTAAAAATACCGAAAATAGCGGCATTCCGCCATTTCCGTGGAAATACGAAAGTGGCAATTAGGGTTTCCACAAATTTCCTGGTAAACTCAAGAATAGGCCATTCGTAAATTTCATTTCTGAATTATTTTACGATTTCCCCTCTCCTTGTATTTTCCGAAACTTTACAATTCCTCCTCGTGAAATTCATAGGAATTAGGTTCCCATTGCAGATTTCTCGTTTTCTGTTTTCAAAATCGTGATTTTCATTGAGTGATTTCGAAAAAATATATATATATATTGGCCCGTATCCTTGGAAATCGAAGTACTCCGCAAATTTATTTTCTGTTACATACTGATGCCACACGGGTCCCTTTCGGACCCGACCACTAGACCAAGGGGTACTTAGGCCAGTCCAGCCAAAGGCCGGACCTTTCTCCCGGTAGGCCGCATGAGGCCACCGCTTGGTTTCCCTGCAGCAGACCAGGTACAGGCCCAAACGACATTACCGTTGGGCCTGGCGGCGCTCGCCGGTCTGATCTGAATCGTCAATCTTGACGGTTCAGATCACGGCGCGCTGGGGCAGCATTGAGGCCGACCGGCCGCCGGACGGTACTTAGGCCAGTCAAGCGGCCTACCCAGCAGGTTGGAGGCTGTACGGCCGGAGTTACCAAGCTGCGTTATTCCTGTTCAGCGCAGCGGTTGGAGCTGCAGCGCTAAGTTTAGCGCACTGCAGCCAAGGGACGCGAGGCGGGAGACTTACCTGGAGTACCGTGAGCGCCATAGCTCGCAAGTGCTCAGCCCAGCTCCCGCCAAAACACATTTCGGGCCTCTCCAACCGAGCCGCGGATGCTCTCTTGCGAAGATCAGATCTTTGAGCATTGACTAATCTCGCGTTCAGTTTCGACGCCGCCCTTCATCAGCATTTTGTGCGAGCATACAAGTCCGATCCGGAATACACCTTGCTCTACGAGCAACTATCCTCGGGTCACCCCCCGGCCAGCCACTACCGCGTCGTCGACTGCTACTTGCTTCTTCACTCGCGAGGCAAGGACTTACTATGCGTCCCACAGGACCGTCGCTTATGGACTCGCCTCCTCGGTGAGTACCACGACTCGCGACTCGCCAGCCACTTAAGAGTCAACCGTACGATCGCAAGACTTCGGCAACGATTCCGGTGGCCCAACCTCATTACCGACGTCACTCGGTATTGCGACTCTTGCGAAGTTTGCCGACGAAGCACACCCCGCAGTCGCAACCCCTACGGCGAGTTACGCCCGTTGCGTATCTTGCGGGAACCCGACCTCTCCATTGCTATGAACGTCACCGGCCCGTTCCCCCGCGACCTCGTCGGGCACGACGACATTCTCACGGTCGTTGACCGTTTGAGCAAGAACGCGCGATTTCTTCCCTGCAAGTACTATGCCACGGCTCCCGAGCTTGCTCGACTCCTGCACACCGGCTGGATTTGCGGCCACAACGTTCCCGAAGACATCGTGAGCGACTGCGACACTCGTTTTATGTCAGTATTTTGGTCTGCTCTCATGAAGGAGTCCGACACGGAGATGAAACTGAGTTCGGCTCGATACCCACAAATGGATGGGCAAACGGAGCGGGCACATCAAACCGCTCAAATGATTCTTCGTGCGCTCATCCGTCCGGATCAGAAGGATTGGGTTGGCCGCCTCCCCTACATCGAGTCTGCCTACAACACTTCGTTGCATCCGGCGCTCGGCGTGACTTCATTCGAGTTGCACCACGGTGGCCGAAAAGGTCGTATCTTCGCTGACCTCCCATTCCCACGGACTGCCGACATTGACGCCTCTTGCTCTCCCGCCTCCGTTCGGAAGTATCGGGACTTGCTGGCTAAAGCCCGCGCCAACATGCAAAAGGCTCAAGTCCGCATGCAACAGCAAGCCAATCTGCGTCGCGTGCCATGCCCCATCCACGGCAGCGACCTTGTTTGGGTCTCCACGGAGAAGTTTGCACTTGAACAAGACGTATCGCGCAAGCTACTTCTAAAGTGGTTTGGACCATGGACCGTCACATCAGTCACGGGCGATGAGCCCGATGGCCTTCTTTTGTGATCGAAATCCCGCCACATCTAACGGTCCACCCGATCTTCCACGCCTCCAAACTGGCCATATATACACCAGTCAAGAGCGACGACTTCCCGGGCCGACGATCGCAGGACCCTCCTTCCATGGATGGTCATCAGGGGTCGATTGCGTCATCACGCATTGCAAGCATGGCAACAAGCCAATGCAGTACAAGGTCACATTCAGGTGGTGCGACCGCCACGACACGGGATGGATCTCACGAGCAGCCTTGCAAGCCTCCGCACCACTTATCTACGCCGATTACGAGAAGAAACGGCTAGCCACGAAAGCTGCAAAGCCTGCCCCTCCCACCCGGACTTCGGTCCCTCCCCCCGACAGACAGCTTCGCCCTCGCAAGTAAGCTACGTCTTTCAAGGAGTGGGAGGTGTGGCATACTCAGTTCCACACGGACCCAGCAGGGCCCGACCAGGTAGGCTAGGGATCCATAGAGTGTAGGGTCTGCGTCGTTTCAACCCACAGTAGGGGCCCGTAGGGTCAGTAGGCCAGTTTAGGCCTGAGTAGGACCGGTACCAGTTAGAGGCCCTGTAGGCCTCGTTTTGGCTACAGGCCCTGGCGCGCGTTTTGGGCGCCAGACCTTGATTCAGAGGCCACACCGTTTCAGTAGGCGCTTGAGGCTCAGTCTCAGTTTGGGCGCCAAACTTTCGAGGCCCAGCCTCAGTTTGAGTGCCAAACTCAGCCGCTGAGGCTGGCCCAGCACTATGTATAGCTGGGTCCAGCCTCAGTTCGGCATTGAGTAGAGGATGGAGTAGAGGCTCTCTTCGGATGACAGCAGTGTATTAGTAGTCCCCCAGCGCTGGGCGCTGATAGGACTTAGAGTAGCGCAGGGAGAGGAGAGAGACTGTGGCGGAGGCCAGGGGACTCACCTGAGACTCACCTGTGACGCCATCGCTCCAGCTTTGTCTTCAGCACGCCCGTACCTGCATCAAGGCGCCACCTTTCACAGGTAAGAACCTGGTACACAGAGAGAGAGAGAGAGAGAGAGAGAGAGAGAGAGAGATCTTCTTCCTCCTCCAGTCCACCACCTTCTCCTTTCCCCTCCAACAGACTTCTTCTTATCAGGCTATGAGAGAGAGAGAGACAGACAGACAGAGAGAGAGAGAGAGAGAGAGAGAGAGAGAGAGAGAGAGAGAGAGAGAGAGAGAGAGAGAGAGAGAGAGAG